CATTCAGTATAATTTTTATAATTTTTTTTGGGATAGAAATTAATACTTTTATTTAGCAAGGATGCTTAAAATTGATCAAAAGTGATGATAAAGGCATTTATAATGTTACAAAAGATTTCTATTTCAGATAAATAGTGTTCATATCGATATCGGAATTATATCGTATCGACCGAAATTAAGAAATATATTGTGATATCAATTTTGGCCATATCGTCCAGCCCTACTTGAACCATAAGCAAACTTTCAATTAATCTGCAAATTTCTCAAAGGAATTATGTATTCATAAGTTCTTGAGTGAATATGGGAGATTTTTTTGCCCTTTGCCAAATGACAGAAGGCTTTCCTCACCCTCTGTCCTCCAAAATAGCAGCATGTCAGCCTGTCAATATTTCCTAAACTCTGCTTCCAAGCCAAAAATGTTGAATTCAGACATTTGAGAATTTATACACTGTTGTGCATTTTGTTTTTCCCACGCCACCTATCCTCTTTCCAGTCACCTGAAAGGGAATTATCAGTTGCTTTTGTTTTCTTTAATGAGGGCTTTAATAGGGCTTCAGATTGGAAAAATTGTGGTCATTGGATGCTCGTCTTTTGTAAGAGTTAGTGGTTTTTGCGCATTGCTTAAATGATGCTGGGATAAATATGACATGAAATGGTTTAGCTCGTGCGCTCATATGAGTCAGCGCTACTTGGCATTGGACTCCATTGGGATAATCAGCAAACGGGAGCTTATAAATGCCTCTAGCTGGCATATTGAATGTGTGTGAATCAGAGCCAAAACTTTCTATTTGCGGTTTCACACCACACATGGTCTAAGGCTTTTAAGGGCATTTATAAAAAAGTGCCCTTCTGGTGTTCACAGAAACCAGTGAACAATGCCGTGGAAAGTATTCGTGAGACATCTTAAGGAGACTTTGAAGGTTAGCTGTCAAATAAACACAGTTTGCCATATTTAATATTCATTAGTGAAAACATAACCCATAGAGTTCATTCCGTCAGTGATAAAATGTTTGTTTTTACGTAATGCATATAAGGGAACAGTTTGAGATGAAAATTGCTCCTTAACACACCTGGAAACATATTTTAAATGCTGTATCTATGTGTTTTCTTTTGGTAAAGAATATGGTATTCATGTTTATTTGCTGTATTTGAACGGGCAAAGTTGCCATTTTCCAATTAAATGAAGAGTTTATTTGAATGAGTTGTTGGATGTCAGAATCACCTCAATTGTGTGTGTTTGAGAGTGTGAGAGTTGTGGTTGAGTAAGCAACAAAAAGAGGAATGTTTTAGGCAAGGCACAACATTTTCAATTTGTTGAAAATGCATTTACCAGAATGTGGAAGTCGACAAATGCAAAAACTAAATGTGAACCGAAGTGTTTGACCGCAGTGTACATTGAATTTCCTTTAGTTTTTAGTTTTTATTCCCAAATGTGTGGCATAATTAGAATAAACACTGAAAATGTTCAGTGTGTGAGAGCATTTGTTTAGAAAAGAAACAAAGTTGCCGGGACTCCATCACGTTCAATATCATTTTCATGACCTTGTATGTATGTCGTTAGATGTCGCTTGTTCGGATTGCTGAAGTATTTTGAACCGATGACAATTGAGCACTTAACAAGCTTCACTGAAATATCTATTTTTCTGATTCACGTTTTGTTAGCCTTGTGCTGCGAATGAAGGTGAATGTTTACATGATGCATTTAGTACAGATTAGTTTCTCTTTGTTTAGATCTCTTAAACATCTTGGTACAATTTTACAACGTATTTCTTTAATGTGTCATACACATTCGTGCTGCTTTACGATTATGATTGCCTTTTTAATTACAAAGTGGGGAGACAGAATGTCACCTAGATATAGGCCTATGTATTTACAATGACTATGGTATACTCCTGAGAAAGTCAGATGCAAAAATTGTAGTGAGCGTTTTTAGTTATATGATGATAATGCTCTGAATTCAGTCCTTTTTGTCCAAAAGGGTCTGCTCACTCCAGTTTACATGGTCAGTTTTCCAAAGTCAGATCCTGTTTGTTGTTAATTTGAATTAATGAAAGTACCAATAGTGTTTTCTTGCACATTTGGATACCGTTAAAACATTTTTGTATCTGCTGGTATAAATTATGAATAAATTATTCAAAGCTTTGTGTTGTGCTGTCTTTCATTCATTCTTTAGATATTAATATTAATGAACTTATTCAGATATTTTTGTAGATATTTAGATGCTTATGTATATATTTAATTATGTAGGTATTTATTTGGATACTTATTTAGATCTAGATATTTGTCTTTAGATCATTAATTTAGATATTTGTGTATTTGGATATTTATGTAGATATTTTGATATATAGATATTTTGTATTTAGATATTTATTTAGATATGTTGATATTTAGTTCTTTAGATATGTATTTTTATTAAATTTATTTATTTAGATATATCATTTTTTTATGTTTAATTCTCAGTGTATTGGTGACGATTGGTTTTGGACTTTTTTTCCCCCTAACTTTTGTCAGACATACAGTATTTGGGGTGTATTTGTACTTTTTGGGTTCCTAGTGACAAAAATATAGAATTAGGCGAGCCGTTTTAGGGGGGCGTGGCAGAGTCTTAACTTTGATAAAGAATATCTCTTTGGTTTTGAGACTTTAGTCTTTGCAACTTCAGGGATCTTATCTATGCACAATCAGCTTGTAACACTCCAAAGAGAAAGGAAAACTTGAAATCGCATCATATGACCCCTTTAAATCCCAAGAATCGATTATTCTAGCCTGTTTTCAGTTAATGGACGGAACATTGAAGGGCACCACCCATCCAATAAATCACAATAAGCATTGTGCTTTGGTACTTTTATTATGAAACAAAGTCTCAGATTTCAAATTCTGTCCATTGTATTGCAGTATTTAATCAATAAATGCCGTTTTGGCGCTGTTTTGTGGAGTGATCGCTGTAGCTGTAGTTGAATACGCGGCAGCGCGAGGCGCACGTGAACTGATCATCTACTCCACATTAATACCAGTTTCAAAATAATCACGACTAAACATCCGAAGCTAAGTTAAAAGAAAGAGTACAGCTTTACAATCCGTATTCTGTCTCATGTAATCGCTCAATCAGTGTTTCAGCTGTGCAAAGACTTCAATATAACGGCTTGTAAACAATGTCTCAACGTCACATTTAGCTACCTCAGAAAAAAAAAAAAACGTATTTGGTGACCATAAACTCATTAGTCAGAAAAAAAACTGAAGACTGAAGAGGGGCATTTTGCGGAATATATGCACCCATATATTATATTCATTATAACTTTAACTGTTCTTCAAAGTTTAATTTATATATTCTTTTTATGATAGCCACCATTTAAATGTTTATATTTAAAAAACGAATTGAAGTAGAAATATTATTATGTAATTGTAACTTTTATTATAAAAACTTCATTAAGTGTAATTTAAGCAGTTGTGTAGCCTAAAAAATCAGTCAATTTTAACCTTCAATGTTATAGTAATGTAGTAGCCTACCAACTGACTCTCATGTATATTTTACAGCATTAAGAGATGTTTTTTTTTCCTTGAGAAAATTTTTAATGTGTACCAGATATATATCCAAAATAATCGTTATTGAATCGGGAATCGAATCGAATCGCAAGCTTGTGAATGAGAATCGAATCGAATTGTGAAATTTGTGTCAAAACCCAGCCCTATAGAATATGCTTACAGTTCTTGTCTTTTGGCTCGTAAGAAACAGACAAACATTTCTTCTTTCTCTGGGTGCAAGATGTTTTATTCATGGTAAGGTGGTGATAAGTTGTCACACTAGGATGCCACCCTCATAAAACAGCACGTCCTTTTAAATGTGCTGAACTGAGTGAGTGAGTCAAACTTTCTGTGTGAAACGAAGAGGTTTGTTTTGATATA